TATCACTTCAGTTTGCTGACAAATGCCTCTCTTGTCCAATGTGAGATCATGGTGCAAAGGGCATGTGTGAAGCTAAGGGAGCCCTACTGTCCCCTCCCAGTGCTAGTCCACGCATGGGACATCATCAAGCCACCTTTGCTGCGACCAAAAATGCATCCCCACATCATCAAGCCACCTTTGCTGCGACCAAAAATGCATCCCCACATCATCAAGCCACCTTTGCTGCGACCAAAAATGCATCCCCTCAACCTCGTAACAGATGCACAGCACAGTCAGAGGCAGGATTCGAGATGCTCCTCTTCTAGTTGCAAGGGGAGTCCAAGAACTCAGTGACACAGGCTCAGAGCACATCTTGGGGAGGGTACCGGAACATGCAACAACCAAGGGGTCCCCCCGCTTCATGTTTTGCAGCAGGTTTTACCATGATATCAAGAGACCATGCTTGCACCAGGATGGGTCTGCTGCAATGGAGGTACACTGGGCACCTGCTCTATGTCCTGACCCTACTCAAGGCTGCCGGGACCTTGGCCTTGATGTTCTACGCGCTGCTGTGGGAAGCTGGGAACCTGGTCAACCTTCCTGACAAACGCATTGGCTTTTACAACTTCTGCCTGTGGAATGAGACAGCTGGGGAGCTGCAGTGCCTGGAGTACAAGCATCTGCAGGTGATGGGCATCAGCCTACCAGAAATAGTGATAGCCAGGGTTTGTGTGTATTCCTGCCTCGTCCTCAGCATCTTCTACCCCATTTTTGTTGTACATGCAAAGTGCACAGATGAGAGAGGGAGCTGGAAGGTGATTCTCATCACATTTATCATCAAGACGATAATCCTGTCTGGAGGCCTGGGTATGTTTCTTTTCCAAACCTCACCATGGATTCACCCCTCTGATTTCACTGGAGGCTTCCTGGCACTGCTGGCGACTCAGGCTTTGCTACTGCTCCAGACTCTCACTGCTGCTATGTATCTCAGCTGGGTCAAGCACACCTCCCACTGTCAAAGCCCTTTTACTGAGAAGGCCCTGCCCACTGAGGTTTGACAGTGAAGAAGATGCAAGAGCCATCGATAACCTGCTTTCAAACAGTAATCCCACCACAGCTTTAGTCACTGGCAGGAATCTGATCCTTAACTCAAAGGCCCATGTCCAGCCATGCTCTGGCACACGGCTGTGTGCTGTGCTCCTGAAGCGAGCAGGCAGCAGACACCAACACCCACAGCACATCGTGGAAGCTTCCCAGAAACAGCAGCATGTAACACACCCTTCAGCCTGGGCCACAACAGCAAAGCGACAACATTTCTGGCCCTGACGCAGAGGACAGTGAAGGGGACAGATCAGAACCAGCACACAGTGGATACAGCCCTCCGGACATATCTAGCCTAAGCATAGGCAGGCAGAGATGCAAACAGGCTTCCTTTCTTGGAATTGCCCAAAGAGACTCTGCTTCTTCTCCACTGCCTAGACTCACCAGGGCTGCCTTTGAGGCAACTGTGACTTGAGGAGCTGTGGCTTCACACTGCCATCACAGCAGCGGCAGCTCCTGAAGTGCACTGGAAATACTCTCTTCAGCAGCAGCACCTGTACTTCACCTGCTGGAATAACATCTGGACTGACTACTCTGCTTTAGTTCATTAGGGTGAAGTGGCCCACATTCAACCCCAGCAGCAGCAGAGCACCTGAAAGGGCAGCCTAACAACTTGCTGAACACAGCCCTAACGAGGAGGCGCGTTCTGTGAAGAAGCAGAGGATTTTGGTGCAGAGCCCCAGGTTTGTCCCCACTGATATTACGGAGCTGAGCCTAGGCAGTCCGGCAGCCTGTGAGACTCCAGAACTGGATCTCTGCAAGGACAGCTCACCACAAAGCTAGCTCAGACCAACGGACGCCCCTGCGCAAGGGTGCGCTCCGGCAGCTGGGCCAGGACTGCCACAGGCCAGGGTGCAGTGCCCCAGCTGGGCCATCAAAACCAGAGCATTGGCTGGGTCTCTCCACCACGGCGGTGCACAGCACCACTCCATGCCATGTCTGTAAGCTTGCACAAAGAAGCGCCTGCTTTCCCGCTCATCCCCTTCAGAGACATGAGGGTCCGTTCTTTTTTCTGCTGCAGTCTTGGTGTGCATGTGCCTGGTGATGATGGTTTGACTGATTCTTCATTTCGGTAAAAGCTCTCACATCTGCTTCAGCCTCACGTGGTGTGTTCATCTCCCCGTTTGGATCGGGAAGAGGACGCTGAGCCACCCTCATCCCTTCCTAGACCCCCCCATGTACATTGCAATGGGGTCAGGCCCCTCAGGATGGTCCTTGCCCCTGCCAATCTGCTCCCACCCATGTCTTCCTCAGCTTTGGGATGCCTGCCCAAGCCTGGAGGCAAATTCAGCATCAGGCCAGATGGGGACAGGCCTGCCAGGTCCCACTGCAGCTGTCACAGAGGGACTGCAAGGACAAAAGAGCCCCAAGGCTGAACCATGACTATCTGGTTCTGCAGAGCCAGCAAAGGCCTTACAGGTCCAGCAACCCCCAACCCCCTTCCAGTCCCAACACCAACTCACCAAAGGGACACTCACAGAAACCCAAACGTCCTCTTTAATCTGTCCATGCTCTGAGATGCCAAACAGAAATGAACATAATCTAATCTGGAGCCAAACCCCAGTGAACCCAGCACACACTGGGAGAAGTGAGTGCCCCCTTTTCCCCCATAGCCTTCACGGGCCTCCCACCAGCTTCACAGGCCACCAACACGGCAGATACACAGCCCACTCCAGGCCCTCTTCTCACCATCCTGAGGGCTGTGGGAGGGGACACCTTCCCCTCCACTGTTCCCTTTGCTCCCAGGGAGCCTCCGAGGAGGGGAACGTTAGCTGAAAAAGATCTCCCTGACGTATTTCAGAGCATCTTCCTCAGTGTCCTCCCGGCCCGTTCTCTCTGCATAGGCACCGGCACCGGTATCAGGAGGCGACGGGAGAGCCGGACCGCGGTCGCCGGCTTCCCCCGCACTGGCTGTGCTTCCAGGAGCCTTGGCTGGCGTTGCCTGGTGCTCCCGCTCCTCTTCACTCGGCGACGGGGCCTTCTCCTCACCTTCCTCGCACTGTAGATTCTGACCAAAAGGTAAACCACCAGACCGGGCTGTGCACGACTCGACCCTGGGAGCACCCCGAGGGGGAAGGGGGGGCACACCCCTCGCCAGTCCCCACCTGCCCGGCGGAAGCTGCTTTTGTCGACCGAAGGCAGCTCCGCCGGCCCCGGCACGCTCCGGGGAGAGGACGAAGGAATCGGGACACCCGGGCGGCGTTCGCCAGCGCCCCCACACCCGCCTCCCGGAGAGGGGCCCCCAGGCAGCCGGGGGCGGCAGCGCTCCCCGAGCGCGCCCCGGAGCCCTCCCGGCCCCGCTCGGACACGACCAGGGCCGCGTCCCCACCCCGGGGGGGGGCGGTCCGGGCTCACCTCGGCCAGGACCGCCAGGGCCACGTCCACCAGCTCCGCCTCGTTCATGCAGTACACCACCGCCTCCGCCGCCCTGGGCACCGCACGGGGAGACACTCAGCGCGGGCAGGGCCCGGCCTCGCCCCCCGCCCCCGCCCCCGCCGCGGCGCTACCTCGGCCCCGCCGCCGCCCGCCGCCGCCCGGCCTTGGGGGGAGCCACCACCGCCCGCTCGGCCCCCGCCGCCCCCATCCAGCCCGGGAGGAGCCGCCGCCGCCGCCGCTCGCCCGCCGCCATCCCCCGCGCGGCCGCACCGCGGGTGGGGGGCGGTGGCGCGGCCGCGGGAGGCGTTCCCTCCGTCCGTCCGTCCGTCCGTCCGTCCCTCCCTCCGTCCCTCCCCGAGCGGGAAGCCCCGGGCTGGCGCTGCCGCCGCCGCCGCCGCCGCGCTGGGACCCGCCGTATCGGCGCCGCACGGCCGGGGCGGCGGGGCCCCGTCACTCCCAGCCCTCTAACGGCTAAAGCGCGAGCGCAGGCGAGCAGCAAAACACGCACACATCCGCCCTCCCCTCCCCCCCCCGCCAAAAAAACCCAAACAAACAAATAAAATAAAAAAAAAAAAAAAAAACGAAACCCATTAAAAAAAGAAAAGAGTCCCGGCAGAAGCCGATGCTATATCGGCCGGGGAGGGCAGGAGCGGCAGAGACAGCGGTGTGCGGCCAGGCAAACACAGCTCATGCATCAGCCGTGAGTTGGAAAATGGGTTGAAGGAAAACTGAAAATAATTGTTTAGGTTACTAGAAGAACTTGAGCGATCAGTCGAACACCTGGAACACAAAGGTCGTTGAGCCAGGCAAGCGTGGTAACCACCACCTGGGAAATGCGTAAATTGAGAGAGACTCCTGATCAGGAACCCCTGTCCTTGAAGATTAAGGCCCTCTGAGAAATAATGAACTAGCTGAAGCTAGACAGGAGGTAAGAAAGCGCAGACATAAACCAGAGAAAGGCCAATTCAAAAATGCAAAGTTCAAGAAAGGCTCCTCCCCGAAGACCGCCAGAGACGGCTAGAGACCACCAAGGGGCCCTGTGGAAGCCTCCCCGAGACCTAAACCTCGTGGGTAATAGCTACGTAAATATGATAATGAGTTTAGGAAATTTCATGAATATGTATGTTAGAGCGATACAAGCTTTGGCTATTGTAACGCGCGGTGGACATGTCAGGTGGAATGATTCCCTCATGCCCCCGGCTGAAGAAAGTAATGCCTGACCGTTACCGGCGTTAAGGCGTTTCCATTCCCCATTTCGGTGACAAGTGCAGCGGTGGGACAGGGCGAAGCTTTGCCGCACGCCCAACGGTTTGTCAGCAGCCCCGCCCGCGGCCACCCCCGCCGTGTTTTACTCCACCACCTCTCCCGACGCACCCAAGGACGCATCCTCCGACAGCCTAACTTTCAACCGTTCAATAGTCGAAACCGCCGCATTTTCAGAGCCCCTGTCCGGCCGCCCGGGCCCCGCCGGGCCGGCCTCGCCCCGCCCCTCCCCTCTGACGCCCCCCGTGACGTCCCCCCGCCGCTGGTAGGTCGCCCCCTGCTGGCGCGGTTGCTTAGCGCCGACGCGGTTGCTTAGCGCCGGCGTCGACGCGGCGGGACCGGCAGCGCGGCAGCGTCGGGAGGCACCGGGGGCCGCTCGGGGTTCTTTTTGGCTCTTCTCGCCCTCTCCCCGCTCTCTCCCCCTCCCCGCCCGGGGCTCGGCAGAGCCCGCCGGCCGCTTCCCGCATGCAGAGGCTCATCGGGCTCCTCAGGAGGCTGCGGGGGCGGCCGCCGCCCGGCAGCGCTCCCGCGCCCCGCGCGGCCGAGCCCCGGGAGCAGCGCCGGGGCGGGCTGCACTGCGCGGCCGCCAGCGGTGACCTGGCCCGGCTGCAGCGGCGCTGGTGGCGGAAGTGGTTCCGCATCAACGAGCGGGACGCGGAGAAGCAGTAAGGGGCGGGCGGTGCCCGGCGCGAAGCCTCCCCCCCAGCCCCGGTGGAAAGAGCCGGGCAAAGCCCGCGACGGTCGCAAACGCCCTGAGGAGCAGGGGCGGCTCCGCAGCGGCGGCCCTTACCGGACGGGTGCCCCAGGGGGACGGGAGGGGGCGGATGCTCGGCTCTGCCCTGCCCTGCGGTGCTCTGCCGGCCCGGGCCCTGTCGTGAATGTCCTGCGGAGCTCGGCAGGCCGTTGTCCGAGCAGAGGCGGCTCCTCTCCTGTCGCCAGAGAGAGCGGCCTGCTGGAGCAGGGCATGGGGTCGCGGGAAGAGACGGTACAGCCTTCCCGTTGCTGTTCGAAATCCCGTCCCCTCTGTCGCTGGGACCCGTCTGGCACGGGACTGACCGGGGAAAAGCCCAAGGCCTTACGCAGACTCCCCAGTCCCCTGTGTAGCCTCCGTAGACTCCCGGCTGCCAAGACGCGCTCTCCCTCGCCGCGCCAGGTGGCCGGGCAGCCCTGCCGGAGGCAGGGACCAGTGCCTGGGCACAGGAGTCTGGTTGTGCAGGTTCATTGGCACAGCTGAGGAAATTCCTCCTGACTCAGTGGATGTGTTGGGGATTTTCCCTAGCCAGCCCCAGGCTTCAGGTGTGCAAGTGCTGCCACCAGCTCTGGCAGGAGAGAGTTTGCTCTCGGCTTAGTTTTTGCCATTTGAGGCTTGTGGCCTTATGCGGTGGGTACCACAGCCTGAAAGGACGTCTTCAGCTGTGTGTGTCCGTGTTAACCAAACACGTTTAATTTCTAGGACGCCTCTGCATCTTGCTTGTGCGAACGGCCACGCAGCTGTCGTTCGATTTTTAGCAGGAAAAAAGTGCAAGCTAAATCCTTGTGACAGTTTTCAGAAATCGCCGCTGATGAAGGTATGTGGAATAGGTCACACTGTTGTGCGTGGGGCTTATCAGTTATGCACCGAGCAATATAGACCTTGCATCATTCTTTACGCAGTCCTGTGTAGAAACAGATATGTTGTAGTCAGCGGTGAAGAGGCGTATGTTGCCTAATCTTTGAAGATGCTCACACTTTGCAGTGTTGGGAAGATGCGGGAGTTCTGTCAGAGAGAAATGTAGATGTTGGAAGTTATTCCTCCTTTGTGTCTTGTTTCCAGGCAGTAGAGCGCCAGCACAAAGACTGTGTGGCTATTTTGCTGGAGCATGGTGCCAGCCCTGACCTCAAAGGTCCCGGCGGCAACACTGCCCTTCACCTGGCTGCCGTCATTCCTAATAAATCTCTAGTGGAGCTGTTACTTGCGCACAAGGCCCATATTGATGCGCAGAATGAGGTAAGCTTGGACTTTGGGTAAGGCTCCTCTTCCTCAAACTTGCTTGACTTTTATGTGTTGTACTAAGGGAGATGACTTCCCCTTTCAGTTGGGATACACTCCGCTTACTCTTGCGATCACCGAGCACTGTGAAGAGATGGTCGAGTTCCTTCTTCAAAAAGGAGCTGATGTGCACGCTCGAGATAACCGTAAAAGGTGAAGGGTTTGTCAGAAATGCACGGGGGACTCCTTAGCATTGTTCAAGTTGGATTGATGGGAGGCGTAGGAATGAGCTTCAAAAGACAACCAGGAGCTGCCTAAGAGGAGCAAATTCTGTGTGAAAGCAGACCCACACTCGGCTGTGCTCTTAGCTCAGTAGACGATTTCTGAGGACTGCAAGAAAGTTTTGGCTGTGGTGCCACGCTCGTGCATACACGTGCCCTGAGTCTGCTCTGGGCAAGTGGTTGGCCTGGAGACCTCCTGAGGTCCCACCAACTGGAATTCTCTGATGCTACCCCATGTTTGGCTGTGCTTTCTCTCTGCCTATAGGAAAGGGAAAATGAATTGTTTGGGGAGCAAAGAGGGACTGAAGTGATGGCAATGCAATGTCTGCAGAAGCTGATGTATTTCCTGTCATTTCTTTGATGCTTTAGGACCACTCTTATGCTTGCTGCTTGTGCTGGGGATATGAATATAATACAAATTCTCCTTCATCACGGTGCTGATCTTTCTCATCAAGACCCATTTGGCTGCACAGCTGAGTACTATGCCAGGGAGTTTCAACATGATGAGTAAGTGTTTTACATCCTTGTTAGAGCAGCTGCATTCTCAGAATGTCTGTGCTGATGTATGGCCCTTTTGGGTAACATCACCAGGGTTTAATGAGGTGTCGAGACCTTTGTTGAAGCTGGGCTCAGTGACATCTTCTGATGCATCTGTTTCCATGTCAGGAGTGGATTTGGAAGTTGGGGGGAAACTTCCCCCAGCACTTCTCTCTTGAGAATCCACCTGTGTGCTACCAAGCTCCACTGAACTAAACTGACTAGCACCTGCCTGTGGTTTGTTTCAGAGGGAATCTAACTGATATCCCCCGAGTTAAACTCTGCAGCAGTTTTCCCTCCTCTCATGGGTAGCTTTGCACCCCTGGCCATTCCTTCACTAAGGTGGCTATGTGTGCTTAACAGCTACGCTGAAGGAAATAGCCCTCTTCCCTAGGGATGGTAGCCTAGTGATGGGTGAATGAACTGCATTATGCCTACAAGCATGCCTTGTCTAGCCATAAACCGCCGGTAACCTCTTGTCACTGGATCTGGACTTCATTTCTCCTCCCCTGCCCCTTCTGTCAGTCTGTGTCAATGGGAAGCAGGAGGGAAGGGTGCCTGGGTAAACTGTGGAGTAAGAACCCCTGTAGGAATACAGCATGTTTGAAGATTGCACTAGCAAAACAAGATGTTAATTCCTTCCCTCTAGGTTTCTGGCACAGTATCAGTGTTGCACTAATGCACCATTTTACATAGCAGCCTTGGTCTGGGGCACGTTTTTAATGTTTTTCTTTTCTTGTTTATTTGGGGGTTTTTGTTTGGTTTTTAGTTCTGCTTATGAAGCAAAACTGAAAGTGGTCTCTCTCTGGAGCCCCAACTGACCCTCTGTCAGGGCTGTTAGAAGATAACACCTATGCAGTGTAGTTAACCCCTGCAGTGCTTGAAATGCAACTGCAATTGCTGTTGGCCTCTTGCTACTCTCAGGTCCTCAGAATAACCGTGGGAATTTCTGAAGCCCTTCAAAGTCAGGACAGGGTTTGAGGAGATGTTACCTCAGCTTGACATGCAGAGTAGCTGCAGCATTAGTATAGCTTCACGCTAAGGTAGAGGCTCTGTAGTTAGATGTCAGTCTGACAGGGGGGTTGTTTATCTCACTGGCCCTCGAAACGGAGAGGGGGTTTATCACATGATGCTGTAGCCCGCAGGGATGAGTTACTCCATAGACAAGAATTGGCACCTGTAGTGTGAACATGCCTGCAGTGAGTATTTCAGTCTCCACTACTCCAGTAGTGCAGTAAGTTGTGTGTGTGTGTTACCCGTTAGCAACTGGCTATGAATATGGGTAGGATGGCTCATGAATGGCTGCTGCTCTTCCAGTAGAGCATGTAGGCAAGTATGGGGGTATTTTTAACAAATGGATTTCCTTCCTTTCCATATATAGTATTGCTGACCAACTGGAGAAATACATGTTCTATGAAGGGATGGGAGAATGTTTTGCAAGAGGCACAGAAGGCCCAGCAGTAGATGGCAGGTTTTGCTCTGCGCTGACTGCTGAATTTACCTCGGGTGCACCTGCAGGTAGGAGGATTCAGTGTGGAGGAGGTGATGAGGACAAATCCCTGTGGCCTGTAGGAGAATAATAGTCAATTGGATGCAGGACTTGAGGGATGGGGAAAGATACAGTGAAATAACCACTCACAGCAGCGTTGTGCTTCTTGCCTCCTTTGTAGGTGTCTTGCCAGCAGCAGCAGGAGCAGAGGAAGAGAAAGATGTAGATTCCTGGTCTGATTTTGAGGTACCTTCTCTGAAGGAGGCAGCTGGTGCCTCACTTGGCTCACTTGCTTTTGGTCTCGTTTCCTTCTGTGGCTGCTTCTACCACATGCCTGTAACTGGGACCTGACATGCTGGTGCTGCAGGCAAGCTGTTCAGTGAGGTCTGGGACAAAGCGAGGGCAAGCTAATGACATGGGTCTCCTAGAGCTGATCTCTGAGCTAGATTTCTAATACAGGACTGAAACAGTAAAGCTTCCTGCTGGTTACGATCCTCTGAAATCCTAGAAAGCTGTCACTGTGAGGATTGCTGGTTTTCCACCACACAGCTCTTCTTTGGATCCAGTCAATGTCAAATGGTTGCCCGTAGGGCCTACAGTCCAGATGCTTAGCTGCTTATGAGTAGGTCCTCTCTATCTTGGGCAAGTGTGTTTCATCCCCTTTTGAAAGCCCAGTTCAACAGAGATGCCTAACATGCTGGCTCTGTTTGCCCTTTTCATACTTTCTGCCACCCGTTACCACATCACAGCACATTGGCTGAATCAGGAGCTTTGTGTTTAGAAATGGGTCGAGGAGGAGTCTGTGCTAATTTTCGTTCATGTCTTCTAAATTCCTCAGTTGGATTTTGAAGATCTAAAGAAAGAGTCAGCTGGCATCCTGCTTCCACCTGCGGATGAACACAGAGCACATGTGCACTCTGGTGCAGAGGAGCGTGGCAATGGCAAGTTCCTGGCATACTAAATGGTTACCTTTATAAGCTTCTCTGGAGTGAGGTAGATGGGGAGAAGCAGAGTGAAATAAGCACTCACAGCAGCGTTGTGCTTCTTGCCTCCTTTGTAGGTGTCTTGCCAGCAGCAGGAGCAGAGGAAGAGAAAGATGTAGATTCCTGGTCTGATTTTGAGGTACCTTCTCTGAAGGAGGCAGTGGTGCCTCACTTGGCTCACTTGCTTTTGGTCTCGTTTCCTTCTGTGGCTGCTTCTACCACATGCCTGTAACTGGGCCCTGACATGCTGGTGCTGCAGGCAAGCTGTTCAGTGAGGTCTGGGACAAAGCGAGGGCAAGCTAATGACCTGGGTCTCCTAGAGCTGATCTCTGAGCTAGATTTCTAATACAGGACTGAAATAGCAAAGCTTCCTGCAGGTTACGATCCTCTGAAATCCTAGAAAGCTGTCACTGTGAGGATTGCTGGTTTTCCACCACACAGCTCTTCTTTGGATCCAGTCAATGTCAAATGGTTGCCCGTAGGGCCTACAGTCCAGATGCTTAGCTGCTTATGAGTAGGTCCTCTCTATCTTGGGCAAGTGTGTTTCATCCCCTTTTGAAAGCCCAGTTCAACAGAGATGCCTAACATGCTGGCTCTGTTTGCCCTTTTCATACTTTCTGCCACCCGTTACCATATCACAGCACATTGGCTGAAGCAGGAGCTTTGTGTTTTAGAAATGGGTCGAGGAGGAGTCTGTGCTAATTTTCGTTCATGTCTTCTAAATTCCTCAGTTGGATTCTGAAGATCTAAAGAAAGAGTCAGCTGGCATCCTGCTTCCACCTGCGGATGAGCACAGAGCACATGGGCACTCTGGTGCAGAGGAGCGTGGCAATGGCAAGTTCCTGGCATACTAAATGGTTACCTTTATAAGCTTCTCTTGAGTGAGGCAGATGGGGAGAAGCAGAGTGAAATAAGCACTCACAGCAGCGTTGTGCTTCTTGCCTCCTTTGTAGGTGTCTTGCCAGCAGCAGGAGCAGAGGAAGAGAAAGATGTAGATTCCTGGTCTGATTTTGAGGTACCTTCTCTGAAGGAGGCAGTGGTGCCTCACTTGGCTCACTTGCTTTTGGTCTCGTTTCCTTCTGTGGCTGCTTCTACTACATGCCTGTAACTGGGACCTGACATGCTGGTGCTGCAGGCAAGCTGTTCAGTGAGGTCTGGGACAAAGTGAGGGCAAGCTAATGACCTGGGTCTCCTAGAGCTGATCTCTGAGCTGGATTTCTAATACAGGACTGAAACAGTAAAGCTTCCTGATGCTTACAATCACTGAAATCCTAGAAAGCTGTTACTGTGAGGATTGCTGGTTTTCCACCACACAGCTCTTCTTTGGATCCAGTCAATGTCAAATGGTTGCCCATAGGGCCTACAGTCCAGATGCTTAGCTGCTTATGAGTAGGTCCTCTCTATCTTGGGCAAGTGTGTTTCATCCCCTTTTGAAAGCCCAGTTCAACAGAAATGCCTAACATGCTGGCTCTGTTTGCCCTTTTCATACTTTCTGCCACCCGTTACCATATCACAGCACATTGGCTGAAGCAGGAGCTTTGTGTTTTAGAAATGGGTCGAGGAGGAGTCTGTGCTAATTTTCGTTCATGTCTTCTAAATTCCTCAGTTGGATTCTGAAGATCTAAAGAAAGAGTCAGCTGGCATCCTGCTTCCACCTGCAGATGAACACAGAGCACATGTGCACTCTGGTGCAGAGGAGCGTGGCAATGGCAAGTTCCTGGCATACTAAATGGTTACCTTTATAAGCTTCTCTGGAGTGAGGCAGATGGGGAGAGGCAGAGTGAAATAAGCATTCACAGCATCGTTGTGCTTCTTGCCTCCTTTGTAGGTGTCTTGCCAGCAGCAGGAGCAGAGGAAGAGAAAGATGTAGATTCCTGGTCTGATTTTGAGGTACCTTCTCTGAAGGAGGCAGTGGTGCCTCACTTGGCTCACTTGCTTTTGGTCTCGTTTCCTTCTGTGGCTGCTTCTACCACATGCCTGTAACTGGGCCCTGACATGCTGGTGCTGCAGGCAAGCTGTTCAGTGAGGTCTGGGACAAAGCGAGGGCAAGCTAATGACCTGGGTCTCCTAGAGCTGATCTCTGAGCTAGATTTCTAATACAGGACTGAAATAGCAAAGCTTCCTGCAGGTTACGATCCTCTGAAATCCTAGAAAGCTGTCACTGTGAGGATTGCTGGTTTTCCACCACACAGCTCTTCTTTGGATCCAGTCAATGTCAAATGGTTGCCCGTAGGGCCTACAGTCCAGATGCTTAGCTGCTTATGAGTAGGTCCTCTCTATCTTGGGCAAGTGTGTTTCATCCCCTTTTGAAAGCCCAGTTCAACAGAGATGCCTAACATGCTGGCTCTGTTTGCCCTTTTCATACTTTCTGCCACCCGTTACCACATCACAGCACATTGGCTGAATCAGGAGCTTTGTGTTTAGAAATGGGTCGAGGAGGAGTCTGTGCTAATTTTCGTTCATGTCTTCTAAATTCCTCAGTTGGATTCTGAAGATCTAAAGAAAGAGTCAGCTGGCATCCTGCTTCCACCTGCGGATGAACACAGAGCACATGCGCACTCTGGTGCAGAGGAGCGTGGCAATGGCAAGTTCCTGGCATACTAAATGGTTACCTTTATAAGCTTCTCTGGAGTGAGGCAGATGGGGAGAAGCAGAGTGAAATAAGCACTCACAGCAGCGTTGTGCTTCTTGCCTCCTTTGTAGGTGTCTTGCCAGCAGCAGCAGGAGCAGAGGAAGAGAAAGATGTAGATTCCTGGTCTGATTTTGAGGTACCTTCTCTGAAGGAGGCAGTGGTGCCTCACTTGGCTCACTTGCTTTTGGTCTCGTTTCCTTCTGTGGCTGCTTCTACTACATGCCTGTAACTGGGACCTGACATGCTGGTGCTGCAGGCAAGCTGTTCAGTGAGGTCTGGGACAAAGTGAGGGCAAGCTAATGACCTGGGTCTCCTAGAGCTGATCTCTGAGCTGGATTTCTAATACAGGACTGAAACAGTAAAGCTTCCTGATGCTTACAATCACTGAAATCCTAGAAAGCTGTTACTGTGAGGATTGCTGGTTTTCCACCACACAGCTCTTCTTTGGATCCAGTCAATGTCAAATGGTTGCCCATAGGGCCTACAGTCCAGATGCTTAGCTGCTTATGAGTAGGTCCTCTCTATCTTGGGCAAGTGTGTTTCATCCCCTTTTGAAAGCCCAGTTCAACAGAGATGCCTAACATGCTGGCTCTGTTTGCCCTTTTCATACTTTCTGCCACCCGTTACCATATCACAGCACATTGGCTGAAGCAGGAGCTTTGTGTTTTAGAAATGGGTCGAGGAGGAGTCTGTGCTAATTTTCGTTCATGTCTTCTAAATTCCTCAGTTGGATTCTGAAGATCTAAAGAAAGAGTCAGCTGGCATCCTGCTTCCACCTGCGGATGAGCACAGAGCACATGGGCACTCTGGTGCAGAGGAGCGTGGCAATGGCAAGTTCCTGGCATACTAAATGGTTACCTTTATAAGCTTCTCTTGAGTGAGGCAGATGGGGAGAAGCAGAGTGAAATAAGCACTCACAGCAGCGTTGTGCTTCTTGCCTCCTTTGTAGGTGTCTTGCCAGCAGCAGCAGGAGCAGAGGAAGAGAAAGATGTAGATTCCTGGTCTGATTTTGAGGTACCTTCTCTGAAGGAGGCAGTGGTGCCTCACTTGGCTCACTTGCTTTTGGTCTCGTTTCCTTCTGTGGCTGCTTCTACTACATGCCTGTAACTGGGACCTGACATGCTGGTGCTGCAGGCAAGCTGTTCAGTGAGGTCTGGGACAAAGTGAGGGCAAGCTAATGACCTGGGTCTCCTAGAGCTGATCTCTGAGCTGGATTTCTAATACAGGACTGAAACAGTAAAGCTTCCTGATGCTTACAATCACTGAAATCCTAGAAAGCTGTTACTGTGAGGATTGCTGGTTTTCCACCACACAGCTCTTCTTTGGATCCAGTCAATGTCAAATGGTTGCCCATAGGGCCTACAGTCCAGATGCTTAGCTGCTTATGAGTAGGTCCTCTCTATCTTGGGCAAGTGTGTTTCATCCCCTTTTGAAAGCCCAGTTCAACAGAAATGCCTAACATGCTGGCTCTGTTTGCCCTTTTCATACTTTCTGCCACCCGTTACCATATCACAGCACATTGGCTGAAGCAGGAGCTTTGTGTTTGAAATGGGTCGAGGAGGAGTCTGTGCTAATTTTCGTTCATGTCTTCTAAATTCCTCAGTTGGATTCTGAAGATCTAAAGAAAGAGTCAGCTGGCATCCTGCTTCCACCTGCGGATGAACACAGAGCACATGTGCACTCTGGTGCAGAGGAGCGTGGCAATGGCAAGTTCCTGGCATACTAAATGGTTACCTTTATAAGCTTCTCTGGAGTGAGGCAGATGGGGAGAGGCAGAGTGAAATAAGCATTCACAGCAGCGTTGTGCTTCTTGCCTCCTTTGTAGGTGTCTTGCCAGCAGCAGGAGCAGAGGAAGAGAAAGATGTAGATTCCTGGTCTGATTTTGAGGTACCTTCTCTGAAGGAGGCAGTGGTGCCTCACTTGGCTCACTTGCTTTTGGTCTCGTTTCCTTCTGTGGCTGCTTCTACCACATGCCTGTAACTGGGCCCTGACATGCTGGTGCTGCAGGCAAGCTGTTCAGTGAGGTCTGGGACAAAGTGAGGGCAAGCTAATGACCTGGGTCTCCTAGAGCTGATCTCTGAGCTGGATTTCTAATACAGGACTGAAACAGTAAAGCTTCCTGATGCTTACAATCACTGAAATCCTAGAAAGCTGTTACTGTGAGGATTGCTGGTTTTCCACCACACAGCTCTTCTTTGGATCCAGTCAATGTCAAATGGTTGCCCATAGGGCCTACAGTCCAGATGCTTAGCTGCTTATGAGTAGGTCCTCTCTATCTTGGGCAAGTGTGTTTCATCCCCTTTTGAAAGCCCAGTTCAACAGAAATGCCTAACATGCTGGCTCTGTTTGCCCTTTTCATACTTTCTGCCACCCGTTACCATATCACAGCACATTGGCTGAAGCAGGAGCTTTGTGTTTAGAAATGGGTCGAGGAGGAGTCTGTGCTAATTTTCGTTCATGTCTTCTAAATTCCTCAGTTGGATTCTGAAGATCTAAAGAAAGAGTCAGCTGGCATCCTGCTTCCACCTGCGGATGAACACAGAGCACATGTGCACTCTGGTGCAGAGGAGCGTGGCAATGGCAAGTTCCTGGCATACTAAATGGTTACCTTTATAAGCTTCTCTGGAGTGAGGCAGATGGGGAGAGGCAGAGTGAAATAAGCATTCACAGCAGCGTTGTGCTTCTTGCCTCCTTTGTAGGTGTCTTGCCAGCAGCAGGAGCAGAGGAAGAGAAAGATGTAGATTCCTGGTCTGATTTTGAGGTACCTTCTCTGAAGGAGGCAGTGGTGCCTCACTTGGCTCACTTGCTTTTGGTCTCGTTTCCTTCTGTGGCTGCTTCTACCACATGCCTGTAACTGGGCCCTGACATGCTGGTGCTGCAGGCAAGCTGTTCAGTGAGGTCTGGGACAAAGTGAGGGCAAGCTAATGACCTGGGTCTCCTAGAGCTGATCTCTGAGCTGGATTTTTAATACAGGACTGAAATAGCAAAGCTTCCTGCAGGTTACGATCCTCTGAAATCCTAGAAAGCTGTCACTGTGAGGATTGCTGGTTTTCCACCACACAGCTCTTCTTTGGATCCAGTCAATGTCAAATGGTTGCCCATAGGGCCTACAGTCCAGATGCTTAGCTGCTTATGAGTAGGTCCTCTCTATCTTGGGCAAGTGTGTTTCATCCCCTTTTGAAAGCCCAGTTCAACAGAGATGCCTAACATGCTGGCTCTGTTTGCCCTTTTCATTACTTTCTGTCACCAGTTACCACATCACAGCACATTGGCTGAAGCAGGAGCTTTGTGTTTAGAAATGAGTCGAGGAGGAGTCTGTGCTAATTTTCGTTCAGTGTCTTCTAAATTCCTCAGTTGGATTCTGAAGATCTAAAGAAAGAGTCAGCTGGCATCCTGCTTCCACCTGCGGATGAACACAGAGCACATGCGCACTCTGGTGCAGAGGAGCGTGGCAATGGCAAGTTCCTGGCATACTAAATGGTTACCTTTATAAGCTTCTCTGGAGTGAGGCAGATGGGGAGAAGCAGAGTGAAATAAGCACTCACAGCAGCGTTGTGCTTCTTGCCTCCTTTGTAGGTGTGTTGCCGGTAGGAAGAGCAGAGCAAGAGGAAGGTTTTGACTCCTGTTCTGAGAATAAAGTACTTTTTCTTAGAGAGGTAATGCAGAAGTCACGCTTCTGTAGCCCTGATACTGAAATGCAGTGTGATGCTGCAATGTTGCTGGGGATTCCTTTCCCCAGTGCCTGTCTGTGACAATGCTAACTCCAGTTTCTGCACTGGAGAAGAGGTTCAGCTAAAGAAGGATGCTTCAATTCAAGCAGATTGTCACTGTGACAGACAGGTGACTTTATAAGAGACTGACACAGACAGCCACAAATAGAGCCTGTCACTGTATGGAGACCTGTTCTTGCTACTGAGTTCCTTGTGGAGTGATGCTGAGAGGAGGTCATTGATTGTGGACCTGAAGTGTATTTCAGACCTCATCTCGTTCCTATTCTGAAGCAGAAAAGCTGCAGAGGTTGCTCAACGTCCCATCCAACCTGACTTTGAACACTTCTAGGGATGGGGCATCCCCCAACTTCTTTGGGCAATCTGGTCCACTGTCTCACCACCCTTGTTTCAAAAATGTTTTCCTTCTGTCCAATCTAACTCTACCCTCTTTTAGTTTAAAACTGTTGCCCTTGTCCTGTCACTATGGACCTTGGTAAAAAGTGTCTCTCCATCTTTCGATATTGCTATTTCTGTATTTCTATATATGCTATAAGATCTCCCCAGAGCCTGCTTTTCCCCAGGCTGAACAACCCCAACTCTCTCAGCCTTTCTTCATGGGAGAGGAGTTCCATCCCTCTAATCATTTTTGTGGCCCTCCTCTGGACCCGCTCCAACCGGTCCATGTCTTCCTGGTGCTGGGGACCCCAGAGCTGGATGTAGTACTCCAGGTGGGGTCTCATGAGAGCAGAGTGGAAGGGGAGACTCGCCTCCCGCGACCTGCTGGCCACCCTGAAGACCAATCTAATTATATAATCCTATGACTAAAAGCATTTCTCGTCTTGCCATCTTCTTACCAATTTCTCCATGTTCATGGAACACCGTTTCTCTAGAAATGGGTCATGCGGCTGCAGCAAGATCTTGCCGATGCTCTCAGGAAGAACTCCCTGGCAGAAGCTTCACTTGAAGCTAAGAAGTGCTACAGCAGGGACCTGCAGGAACAAAAACTGCGGTTGCAGAAGGAACTAGACAGATCTAAAGCCAAGGTATGGAGAAAGCCTGTCTCTTGACAGGGGCCCTGGCCTTTTTTGTAGCAAATCAGAGCAGGGAACTGACCCTTTCTTGGGGGTTTTGTGTAACCCAGGGTGATTCCGTGTGCAGCTAGCTGTGATGAGGGAGCTGGGAGGGAACAGCCCTGCTGCCTTTGGTGCCTGATTGTTTGCACCACTGGAAGTAACAGCAGAGGGCTGCGTTAAGGTGGTCTTAATATACTAGACAACTTTGCAACGGGAGTAGATTAAGGGACATGTAAGTGACTCGCCTCGTTTTATAAGCCTGGCGCCTACGATTAGAAAGGTCACTAACTGTGAAGTCACTTTGTCCTTAATTGGAGAAGGGGGGGCGTATTCCTTTCAAAAAGCTGCTTCTCAGGTTTCACAGAGCAAGTGTATTTGCTTCTTTGGTTTTGGCAAAGCAGAGTGTGTGCTGCCTGAGGAGGAACAGGCACACTGGAGTGTTGCACTGGTGCTTTTTTGTATTCCCTCCTCGTGTCGTCCTTGTTATGGAGTTGCAAAGTCACTTTAGGAGCAGGCGGAGCTTCTAACTGTGTTGGAGGAGCCAACAATTGACTACAAAGAGTGTTTGGAATCCTTGAGAGAGAAGTGTCATGGCAGCATTTAGGAAATGCTGTAGGAAACCAGTATAGACATAGGAGAGGGGCCAGTCTAAAAGATGAAGTAACATGGGTTTTGAGAGTCAACATGAGAGTCAAAGCAGTTCACTCCCTTTTATCAAACCAAAGCCTGACTACTGGGGATTGTTGTGCTCTGACAGCTGCAGGAAGTGAAAGAAAGGTATATCTGCACGGAGTGTTATGCCGAGTCCCTGAAGAATGCCATAAAGGAGAAGGAACTAACAACTTCCAGGAACGTGCAGGCCATTCTGGCCATGCCTTCTGCAGCTGTGGCTATCCCAGAGCTGGAAGAACAAGTGCAACAGTAAGGAAGTAACACAGTGAAGCCAGGCTTCACTTTCTGTGACTGTGTGAAAACAAAATGACTGTCTTGCACCCCAGCAAGATAATAATAGAGTTTTCAAAGATGCTTTTGCTTTAGATAAGGTTCTTTCACACTCTTCTTTTGGGATTTGTGCTCTTGTGGACTTCTGCGATAAGGTCTATACTTCTTTTCCAGGCTCCAAGTTGTAATGACCAGGCTGGAAGCCACAGCAGAGCAACAAGCCAAGACCACTGAAGCCCTTCAGAAAGACCAGCAAGCCTCTGCCTCAGTAAGCTAGTCAGAGCCTTCCCTTTTCATGAGCTACAGAGCTTAGGTCGGTATTCCTGTGGGGAAATTTGAAGAGGTTTTCCTGGGGGGCCTGGGAGAGATCCGTTCCTCTGTTCTCCTGACTGTAGGCTGCCCTGAAAGTCCTACTGGCTCATTTCCCAGCTTTCTGGCTTTGAGAGTTGTCCCGTGAGGCTCCAGCAAGTCCTACATAATGCCATCTTCGTTAAGGAGTTGCCAGTAATGCACTGGCTTATTAAGTATTTTCTGCTTTAGACCAGTCATGAGGTTGAGACCTCTGGCAGCACCTCAGACAGTCATGTAGTAGAGGGCTTTGGTACCTTTGGTTGTGGACTTTCCTTGGGCTCTGGTGCTGCCAAGCGCTTCATCCTGGAGGCCTGACTGGCATCATCAGACTGTGACAGGAGTTCTTCCGTTGCTTGTACTCTAGTCACCTTCCCATTTCAGTGATTATGTATTCCTTGGCCAGAAGCTCTGGGTCCCTAATGCAATGAGACCTCCAAAGATGAAAATCCACAACTAATAAGGGAACAACACCTCCAAGGGCAGGATTTTGTGTGCTTGGGTAGTGTTGCGGGAAAGACAAACACTGTGTTGTACCGATACTGGCAAGAGAAGAAGAAAGGCTGTGAGGTGTGCTCTTCAGTCAAGGAAGTCCTAGCGTGACTTATTTTTCCTTCCTTTAATGCTGCTGTAGGCTCATAATGTCCCAGAGGACTTGATAACTCGCTTTCAGACACCGTCTGCAAAGGAACACCTGAGCGGCTTTTGGGAATGACTGGTTTTAGGCTTGGAATTTCTTGTGGGCAAGTGATTTATGAAAAGATTGGGTGAGCTGTGGAGAACCCCCCAGGTTTTTGAGCAGGGTACCCTCAGGGGAAAAATCTATACATTTCCTCATTCCCCTGGTGCTACTGTGTTTTGAAGCTGTTTGGTGGACAATATGTGGGCACTTGCGTTCATCAGCATGATTCCTTTGATGGATCAACTGTGTGCTGTGGACAGGAGAGAGATCTGTGGTTGAGAGCTGCGAGAGGACACTGGAGTTGGGAGATCCAAAGCACTGTCTGCATGTTCTGCATATGGATCCTGTTCCCCTGCTCTCTGTGTGATGTATCTTTTCTATTTTGAAAGCGTGAGAGTGAAATCGAGGAAGTGAAGAATCTAGCTGTGATGAAATGCCGAACAGAAGCACTTCTGAAGAAAACGGGGAGAAGAAACATTGCAATGGAGCAAGAGCGTACCAGGCATGGCTTTTTAGTGCTTTACAGAAACATCATATTGAGTAGAAGTTGAGCTTAACTGAACTCTAATGTAAAAGCATTGTTTGCAAACAAATTCAGGCCTTGCATTCAATCTTGAAAGGTGCTTCTGTGCATGAGCCTATGGTTTTAAAAAGCTGCAAAAAGCTTTGCAAATGCAGGCTGCCTGCAGTTCTCCTGAGAGGGAAGAAAGCATTTTCTTCCTCTGTTCAGGTAAACTTTGGGCCCTCCCAGTCATGTCTGGCACTGGAGTGCTGGCTGCTTTCAGGAACTTCTGGCCTGTCAAGCATGTTACAGATGAAGCAAGCCATGGCAGTGCTGCTTACATAAGAAAGGCCAATTGTTGCTTTGCTTCACACTCTCCTTACTAACTTGCTGTGCAGGTTGAAGAACCTTCTGGAGAGCTCAGACAAAGCTGAGTGTTATGTAAGGGGAAAGCAGTCAGATTCCAGGCAGAGATGAGGAATATCTGTTCTGAGGTGGGCAGCAAAGCTGGCAAACTAAGGCGAAAGGTGAGTTCTGGCTCATTTGGTGGATTTATGGTGATTATTTTTTTCTGCTGCAACAGGCATGATTCTTTTCCTATACTTTTTGTCTGTGTTGCTAATTATCTACTACTGTCAGCACGTGCCAAACACAGTCTCCCTGGCCACCCACCTGATGGACTTCCACAGAAGTGAGGAACTTTAGAGCTCTGTCTTTGAGTTGCTTGTTTTGCTGCATACAAGTTGATGATTTTTCCCCAACACCTGGAGATGCAGTCAAAAACACACATGCAGCAGGCAAGACAAAACCAGAACTCGCAAGAAAAGTTGTCTACTTTGTGTGAGACTCAGAAAGAACCAGGGCTTAACCTCAGAAGGCACTGGGAGGCTAACATGGTAGGTCACAGCCAAAAAAGACAACTGGGGGAAAGAGCTGGACAAGAAATAGGGAAAAAAACGCAAGTTGATCCATATCTCCACATAACGCAGTTTTCCACGTGAGTCTGTACTGTAACTTTGTTGTTGACATGTTCGAGCATTTGGTTTTTGGTATCTGGATCTGCACATTAGTGCTGTACTTCCAGGATCTACTTTCAGTGCTGCCTTTGGCCCAGCCTGCTGTAAAAGTAAGGCACAGCCTTTTCTTTTCCTGCCCTTCCCCACTCACAGGTGAACCTCCCATACCGTTAGTGATGAGAAGATGCTAGAGAAGAGGAAGTTCCAGTGCCAGAAAACAGAGTGCTCACAGGAAGATGAAGGAAGCCTGGAAAACTTTGCCTTCCACCATGTGCAGCCATGACCCTGCATCTAATTCCAAGTGTTCTGTTGCAGCTTAGTATTTAATAAACTGTGTTTTAGTCTGTTTTGCTGCACAACCGGAGCACTTTGTCCCTAGCAGGTTTGGATGAGAAGAGTCCTGTCTCTGAAGGCTCACTGAGGTTCTCTTTCAGTGCAGGCAGTTGGTGTGTTTCTCTCTGCCCTTGCTCTGAATGAAAATCAGTCCTGCGGACATCTCCAAGAGGGAATACGCATCTACGTTCTTTTCCTCTGGGGAGACTTGAACTGTGATTGTGCCCAGATCAGGGCCTAGTGCTGAGCTACTGCTAATAATAAGTTACCAGACTCTTCCCGCCTTTTTAGAGCAATCCTCCTGGTGGTCTGGGCAGAAGGTGGTAGGGAATCTGATGGACATGTAGACTGCTGAAAGGCAAAGGTGTAAATAAGTGGTGACAAGCTGAAGCAGGGTGAGTCCCGCCTCAACCGAAGGAAAAAGCTTTTCTTTTGTGAAGGGGGTGAGAGACTGCTCCCTTGGGGACAGGGAGCCCAAGGGGGTCAGTCCCCCAGCCAGCAGGGCAGGGCCCAGCCTTGGCCTATGCGAGCGAGGGGAGCAGGGTGGCCCTAGGGCGGGCAGCCGGGGCAGCCAAGAGCCTAAAGGGACAAACACGTGCCTGGTGAGGTGGCAGCTCTGAGGGCAAGCCAGAAGTCAGGCGTGGTGGTGGCAAGCAGGGTCAGACACAGCCCAGTGATGGTCAAGCAGGGCCCTAGGGAGGTCTGGAGCAGCGAGGTCCATGGCCAGGCACAGCTGAGCCAGAGACACCACGACAGAGCTTAGGCAGGGCCTGGCGGCCCCAGCTCAGCCTGCTGCTGGCTTGGTCGTGCCACAGAGGTTGTGGAGCCTCCATGCTTGGATATGCCCCAAATTGGACGTGGTCCTGCCCTGGTTGACCCTGCCTGCCTCAAGTGACCACACGAGGCCCCTTCCAACCTCAATGAGGCTGCATTTCAGCGATCTGGAAACGTCACGCTGCAGGCCGTTTGTTCAGCTAGACCTCCCGCCTGCTTTAGTGAGCTTTTTGCCCAAATCTGACCTCATCTTAAGTCTTTGTTGGGCTACATAAAACAGTCAGAACAACTGCAAACTGTAGCCAACATGTCCAGGCACAGAGATTGCAACCACTTTCTCAGTCACCAAGTCACGTTGTGAGGTGTGATGCCACCAGTGAAGAATGTCTGTTAGCCAAGCCAATCTTCACTTCCAGCCCCTGCTTTGAGACCTGGAGGTGGAGAAGAACCATCATGTTCCAGGTCTGGCTGGGCAGCAGGGGAAGCTGCCAGCTATGGAGGTCTACCTGGCCCAGTCCCCATCTCTTCAAGTGCAAGGGAGATAGCTAAGATATGCATTGCAACTTTGGCAGGCCACTCTTCAAACATGCCAAAGCACACTTGGCAAAACCCAAGTAAAATAACGTTCCACTTCTTTTCCAGGCAATCCCCCATCACATTGGTAAATGTTAACAGATGTCCAAGCTCTAAAACCAAAATGGCCTTTGGAAAATACCAAAGGTCTCTTCAAACAATTGACTGGATCCATTCCTCCCATAATTGAGAATGAGAGCTCTGCCAAGGCACAATAGTACTGTAAACTCTCAATAAAGGGCAAGGACAAAAGCAGAGTAAACTCCGCTGTGATGTGTAAGGAGATGACATCTGGTTGCTCAGTCTATTCAAAGGCTATGCAATACCTGAGCACAGCACCTGCCCTGATGTTGGAGGTGTGCAGGGGGAGACGCAGTTCCAGTGACAGAGACCACTCTACAGGACCAGAGTGGTTCTGGCCCTCCCTCCTATCTGCCATCAAGTAGCTGCTAGGCATCATGTAGCCTCTGAACTCCAACACAAGCATTTCAAAAAGCCTGACCCAGGATCTCTCCTCTAGTTGGCAGCATCTATCACAAGGGAACACAATACATCCAAAAGAACACAATTATTTTTGTTCCTGGATGTCTTGCACTGGCTCCCCCCAGTTTGCGAGTGTCGGTGCCAGAAGCACCCGGTGAAAGCACGTGGGTCTTTTCTCCATTCAGGAGACTTCCTTGGCACACCACCGTCCCAGCCCCCCTCCATGTTTTGCAGCAAAAATTTAACTGAGCACAGGAATCAAGTGCAAGGGAATATTTTCTTTTTATGGCAAAAAAATAAACAAAAAAAATCCAAACTAAAAACAACAACACCCCGCCCCCCCCTCCCCTCCAAACACAACAATAAATGCTATACTGAAAGGATACTCTAGTTTCACACTGGCCTTTCCAGTTTGAGCCATCTTATCATCATGCACTGTGCTGCCTCATACACGCCTCTTCCAGCCTCACCACCTTCTGCAGAACCCCTGACATGATCCCAGCAGCCTTGTAGCCACGTGCTACTCAAGACTCCCTAACAGATGAAGTCCAGCTGCCACAATGGGTCAGCGAAGACTTATTTTTCAGTGCTGCCACTGATCTGGTCCCATACCGGCATTCTATTGCACAGTGGTTTGGCAAATGTTTTTAACGTTTGTCAAGAGGCAAAAGCTACGATGATTGTGGTTTGCCTTCTCTCCCATGCAGTTTGTTCCTGTGGAGTTAACACTGGTTTTGTCGAGTCTGTTGATCTTTCCCTTCACTACTGTCCAGGTTAAGACTTTTGAGCCAGTAAGGTGGTTAATTTAATCTTCCCATCCATCGAGGCAGTGAGGCAGGTCCCACAGTCCATAGCCGTGCTCCAATCCACTGTGACAACGGGAGCTCGGTGTCCTCCCAGGGAAAGGCAGCTCTCCAGAACTTTGTCCTCACCATTTAACTAAAAGAAGGAAAACGTAAGATTTTTAAGGAGGCAAGTTTCTACAGTGGGGGCAGCCCACCCACAGGAGAAGCCAAAGCCTGCTACAGATTCCATATCCCTATCAGCATACATAATTAAGCAGAAAATCAGAGATGTATGTAGCACACAATGAAGTTAAGTTTCCAGTCTCATGACAGAAGCACGTGTTCAAGCAGCTCAGCTTCTGACATCAGCTGAGCTGAAGTAATTGAACACGGCAGGCTAAGAGCAAACTCTGATGAGGAGCACATAAGCCTATAGCTCCTGTTAGTGCAGGCACTCTGAATGCCCCAAACGCAAAGGAAAAATTCCATCTAATCTGCCTTGCAATGGCTTATCCTGATGGGTATTGACTCAAGAGGAGGCAGGCAAGGGACATGTGATCAGTTACCACTTGTTACTGCGGCACAGAAACTTGGGCACTTGGAACTATTCAGCCTTACCCTTCATCTCATTTCAGTACACAGTAGAGGAGAGAAAATCAGGCTGGGACTAACAGCTTCAGCAAGCACACAACTAGATTAAAGATGAGCATCAATCAAGAATCATGCATTTTGCGTTGAACAGGCATGCGTCGATATATTTAAAGAAATTAAAACTCTATCCAAGGAACTTGGGCACTAAGGAAAAGTGCTGCAGCTATGCTTTAAGAACAAGCTACATACAGAGGGCTTAATGCTTACAGAGGGTTCAAACACTTGAACCCCACACACTGCTAAAATACACACTGTATGAAACTGAGCAGCAACTTTCACAAGGCAGGAATGGGTATCAGTAGGTGCTGCTTGAGAACTTCCAGTGGCTGCTGTTGCAGCCTTGTAACAAGAGCTTCTACGGAGGCGTAAGAGTACTCCCCATCGCTTCTCAGACCTACCTTAAAAATTACTCCCCCTGTGGAAGAACATGTCAACATGTAGTTTCCCTCAGAGTCAAAAGCAAAAAGCCTTCCTCGTGGGAACTGAACTTGCTTGTAGCCACTGTATCCAGACAGAACAAAAGGACCTGTAGCTTCACTGGGAAGATCATACTCAGACACCTTCAAGCCACTTTTGTGAATATTCCACTGAATAAACTAGAATGACAAGAAGAGATGGTAGAAGCCCACAGTTAAATTGACTGTGATTAAAGTAGAGGGGCCATTCATTATTATTAAGCAAGGCAGCTACTCTTCCCAAACAGAAGAGCACATTTTGATACCTATATCTAAGTGGCTATATTTATAAAACACAGGCTGCAAAGGCTGTAAGAGTGCCTACTATCCAGGCAAATATACGCCCTAACTTCCACGAGCACTTCTGCCTATGTGTCCTTCCACATTGCATGCAGGATCCTGGTGGGAATTCACTTAAATCTCATCAGCCAAAGACTCACACTTTTAGGCAGGTGACTCTCTCCCTGAACCACACCTCTACTGCTGAAGACTCTGGAAACGCAGAAATTGAAACCTTTATTATAAGCAACAGGGAGCTTCTGACAAGGAAATTTATGCAAAGTGGTCAAGGATCTGCTCCCTGGTGAATCCCAGATCTCAAATGTGGTGATCTCAGGGGCAAAGAAAGGTCATCTTCAAACAGATTCCCTGAGAAGGGGTTATCACCCACAGCAGGATTTGCAGACAAGGTCCAAGACAGCTCCAGCTGTTAAAATGCTTTCTATCCACTCTCTCTGGAGAGACTGCATGCAGCGGGGTGCTGCTGCACACCTAAGATTACAGCTAGCAGCCCGCAGATCCCCCAGATTCTGAGGGTATTCTTATTGCTATCTCCACCATATGGAGAAAACTCCGGAGGGGATCTCACTGCCAGCTGATCAGTAGAAGGGCACCCAGAGCCTACCTTGCCATCCTCGCCTATGCTGTAGACTGTGTTCTCATCATAGCTGAACTCAACGGAGTAGACTTCCCCATCGTGTGCCTTCCAGCTCATGGCGCACTCGTGCTGCTGCATATCTGAGGGAATAACCAGTACTGAACACTCCTCATACTCGCACAGAGCTGAGGTGAAGTGAGAGAGGCCCTTTGTGTTCATAAGGTCTCTGTCTCAGCCCTCGAAATCAGTGCAGGGGATCCCAGTCCAATCCCAGTACCCTGTGCTGATTCTTCAGCATGTGGCTTTTATACTGGCCACAAAAATCATTGCCTGTAACTAGTCACCTCTTCCTCCAGCTTTACAGGGCTGCTCACATGCTCAGTCAACTGCAGCCTTTCTGCACCTAAGCCCCACTGTCACCTTTC